GCTCCATAGGGTTTTCAAGGCTGTGACATTTTGGGAGTAGATTGCCAGCTTCCGAGGAACTTTTGGATGGGTTTGAACTGCCAACCTTTTGACTAGTAGTTGAACGCTTAACAGCTTGTGCCACCCAGGGACTCCTTAAATTATGATCATTTTTTACTGCCACTGGAAATGTGAAGAGCAATTCCAGACCATGGGTGTGGGCATGGGGTGTGTGTGTCCTCTCCATTCAAGATGCCATGACCCACCTCCAGAGAATAAATGGAAGGACAGCTGCTGCAGGGAGCACTGCTTTGATAGAGAATTACCGTTTGTTGAACACTTACTATGTGCCAGGCTTTGTACTTTTACCTAGGGGTTTCATTTCAAGTTCAGTGTCTTATTGACACCCAGTGAGGTCTTATCACTATGTCTTTGCAGACCTCAGAGAGGTTCATCTGCTCAAGGAGGTCCCATTGGTGGTTAGTGGCAGAGCTGAGCTTTTAGGTGAGCTCTGTTTAATGCTGAAGTCCATGCTTTTCCCACTGGTACTTGCAGACTAGTTCCATACGTATACCTTATGTGCTAGAAAGTTGCATGTAAGGTTCAGGGGCTTAAAAAGGGGGTGAAAGAAGGTTGGAAGGCCATGGCCACCTCCAGAGCATTGGAGTTTATTTGATCCTCTAGCTGCAGAGTACTGACTATAGAGCTATTGAATGAGATAAAACATGGGAATGGTTAGAAGCAGCCCTGGTCAACAAAACCACTGGTCAGTAAATATTAGCCACTACTATAGTAGGAGTCCTTGAATGGTGCAAAAGGTTGGTGGTTTGAACCCACCCAAAGATGCCTCAGAAGACAGGCCTGGTGATCCGCTTCCAAAAGGTCATAGCCTTGAAAACCCTATGGAGCAGTTCTACTCTGCACACGTGGCATCACCATGAGTTGGAATCGACTCAGCACCAACTAACAACAACAATTACTGGTAGTGGTAACAGTAGTATTACTGGTTCCTGCTTCCTACTCTGGTGCCCTCAGAACACAGCATTTGTAATACCCCAGTTTGCCCTTCTTCCCAGCTTGGGAAAATTCGCACACAGGTAGGTATCCAAGTCCTCTTATTTCAGGCATTTTCTTATTTTGAGAATGGAAATAGCTTTGTACTCTGTAGTTACTAAAATGTTTAAGTGCGGTGAAGGTGGGGAACCTGGTGTGACTCGTTCATTCTCGCCACCCCCCCACCCCACAGCACCTGCACCTTGTTCATT